TTTTTAAATAAATTTATTCTGGCTGTATAATTGTTGCCCTAGAAGAGTGTTTCTCAAAGTGTATTGTGAGGAATGCCGATCTCTAGAAGCTCTTCCACCTCGTGCTGCCAGCTGTGTCTGGAGCGGACATTAGGAATGCACAGAGAAGCAGGCCTGGGCTATGTTCCCAAGAGTTTGATGACCTTGCTACTACTTTCTCTTTCCCTCCATTACACTCACTCACCTCAGAAGGCCTGTGACTGTGTTGTTGCTTGGGAAGATCTAGGCCATCTGATACTTCCTTTCTACTGATCTTACTGACTAAATATAGATAAACAGTTACAAATCGCATTTTTATAAATGTTTGTTGTTGTTGTCTTAAATTACCCCATCTTTCATGTAGTAATTATTTAGAAGCAAAAGCTATAAAAGTAATTTTTAAAAATAATATATTAATTGTTGAACACAGATAATCAGACTCATTGGAAAGAGTGGGGTGAACAGAAACATGGAGTCCATGAGGATGGGAAGTGCAGTGCCAAGCTTTTGACTGTAGGTTGTCCTGCTTTAGAGAAGGCATGAGAGATTATTAAAAATTTCAACCATAGGCCGAGTGCGGTGGCTCACACCTGTAATCCCAGCACTTTGAGAGGCTGAGATGGGCGGATCACTTGAGGGCAGGAGTTTAAGACCAGCCTGGCCAACGTGTTGAAACCCCATATCTAATAAAAATACAAAAATTAGCCAGGCCTGGTGGCACATGCCTGTAATGCCGGCTACTTGGGAGGCTGAGGCAGGAGAATCACTTGAACTTGGGAAGCGGAGGTTGTAGCAAGCCAAGATCGTGCCACTGCACTCCAGTCTAGGCAACAGAGCAAGTCTCCATATCAAAAAAAAAAAAAAAAAAAAAAAGTTCAGCAATAGTATTTGTGGTAAATTTGAAATGAATACATGAAGTATTTAGGAAGATTCTTATGTAGGGCCCCTAAAAGTAGAATTTACCTTTTGTTTTTAATTCTGATCTCTTTAAGCAGCAAAGTCTGTCCTGTGCCATTGAAGTGCCGTAGAAGGAAATAGATGTAGAGGCCAGCTTTGTTTGTATAATACTGCTTTGCAGACATGCTGTCAAATTGTAGTTTTCAGAGGGTTTTGAGATGAGATGATGATTCTCGATTGTCCAGGTGTCAGTGACGTAACCACAAGTGTCCTTGTGAGAGAGAGGCAGGAGAGTCAAGTTAGGGTCAGAGGAGGAGGAAGGGGAGGCCTGAGTGATGTGGAGCCCTGGGCCGAGGAATGTAGGCAGCCTCCTGGAAACAGAAGAGGCAGGGAGCCTAGACCATCCTGAAGAATGCAGCCCCGCTGGCCCATTGCAGACTTCTGACTTCCAGAACTATAAGGTAATAAGCAGTGTCTGTTGTTTTAAGCCACTCAGTTGCAGCGGCAACAGGGAACTAATAGGCAATGAGGGAGAGATTTAGTCACTCGACGCAGTATTGCGCATCTGCTCTGCCAGGCATGGTACCCGGCCCCACTGGACCTTGCCTCCTAGACGGAGAGACAGAATGAGTTTTAGAGAGTACTGCATGCTGCCATGAGAATAGAATTGTCAGGCAGTGGAAAATGATTGAGCAAGGAGGAGCAGAGGGGGCTTGTCTGGCTGGGGGCAGGTCTAAGAATGCTCCTCTGGGGAGGTGACGTTTAAGCTGGAACCTGAATGTAAAAAAGGAAGTGGGCATGCTGAGCTTTGGAAGCCAAGGGTTCCAGGCAGGGGACACTGTGAATGCTGAAGGTGCAGAGGACTCATGCTGTGACATGAGGCAAAAGGATGCAGGACTCCCCCCCGCCTCTGCCCTTCCCTCTTGGATTTAAAGGACGAGGCTGTGGTGGCTCAGGTTTTCTTATCCCCCCAGTGGGAAGGCCTCAGGAGATTCTTTTCATACCTTGATCTTGCCCAAGAGAGTTGAGGGTGTGCCTGGGAAGCATCCTTTTTCATGGGCATTTTGTCTGTGACTCTTGACATCTGTGTGCCGTGCCCAGTCGTCACCCGTCCTCGGCCCCAGCAATCTGCAGGCAGTGTTCTGAGAGCAGAGGAGCCTTAACTCCCAAATCTGTTAAGTGATACTGTGTCAGAACTGAGAACTTGCTACTTTTGTCGTCAAATTCTAAATTGGCTTTGTCATCTGGAGTGGAACAGCCCTCCTGCACATAGTCCCTGGCAAGAGCAGCAGCAGAAAGCCAAGGGCCAGCTCTTCTGGGTCCAGAAAAGCTGTCCCATACCCTGCCCTGGCCCAGCTCTGTGCATGAGGAGGAGGAGAGTGTTTCTGTTGCTGGCTTTGTATGAATAAGCCCTGAAGACTCACAGTCACTGTCCAGTCTGTGTTCCCTCATAGCCCTTGCAGTCTAAGGGTTGATGTGGATTTTGGAGAACATTTATTCCCATCACATGGTTTTACCAGGAGAAAGGTAGGGACCCCTAATGGGGATATGACCAAAGCATGTCGCGAGCTTTCAGAACACCTACCCCTGTACCCCAAGGACAAGGAGGATTGTGGACCTAGGAAACTGCAGTGGGAATGCTGAGCCTTGTTTTTTGTAGGGACATCTCCTACATCTTTCTATTTTATTTATTTAGTTTTATTATTATTATTATTTTTGAGATGGAGTCTGGCTCTCACACCCAGGCTGGAGTGCAGCGGCATGATCTCGGCTCACTGCAACCTCCGCTTCCCGGCTTCAGGTGATTCTCCTGCCTCAGCCTCCTGAGTAGCTGGGACTGCAGCTGGGCACCACCAAGCCCGGCTAGTTTTTGTATTTTTAGTAGAGACAAGGTTTCACCATGTTGGCCAGGCTGGTCTCAAACTCCTGACCTCAGGCGATCCACCCGTCTTGGCCTCCCACAGTGCTGGGGTTACAGGCGTGAGCCACCGCCCCCAGCCTCCTACATCTTTTTTAAAATGCACCTCCCCTATCTAGCTGTGAACACTTGTGAGTTGCTTATGTATAAAATCAAGGGCATTTTTCACTTTGTGAAATGTTTTTTGAAGGTTCTCTATTTTTAATTAGGTACTGACTTTTTAAACCTGCAAATGTCATGCCTCCCAGAATTAGAAGTGTAAATGACCTTCAGGGACCCCCTCCCATCTCTGTCAGTTAATCCAGGCTCCTAGAACCCTGGAAAGGTGTTTGGAGATACCCATAAAGTCTGTGTGCCTTGGTGATCATATGTGAAGTGGGTTATTTTGGTTTTTGTTTATTTAATGAATAGAATAACGTAGTTACACTTAGTAATACTCATTCACCCAAAGGACGGGGGGGCTGCTAAATCATTGTGTTTTTTGATGAATGGCTTGTACACTGAAAAATAAATTGGACAAACTGGCATAGAGCTCAGTGAACATGAAATCAGCTATTAGAAGAAAGCTTGTGAACAAATTCTGAGGCAGATATGCATCTTTTGATTAATGCCCTATCAATCATCCACACAGCTACTTTAGCTAAGTCTTGCCATAATCATTCATGCCTGCTTTTGGAAACACTGGCAGCAAGTATAACGTCGCAGAAACGGAATATTACTACTGATTTCCCCCTAACTTACTGTGAACAATGACTGTTTTCACCATGTTTCTGCTTTCCTTTATTAAAGAAATACAATGCAGAATGAAAGGAGAGTTCCTCAAAGCGTCGTGAAATTCTCCTAGGGTATTCTTAATGATATTCAGTCTTAAATGGGCAAGCTATTGTAATATAAGGTTCTCTGTAGGAATAATAGTAATGTAATCCCATTGAAGCTGCCTGTTATGGATTGTAGTCGAACAGGCAAAATGTAGAGTCACATTAATGAACAGAGTATATCTTTGGAATTATTACTTAAAGTTGTTGAAATGGTTTGAATTTTGTTATTGTAATTATTTTATTCTCCATTAATGCGTTTAACAGCCATAGTAATTAACCCACCAGATTGGAAATTTGCATGAGTTCTAACTTTGACGTTACAAGAAACCCTGATTCTTTCTGGGTATTACACAGCAGGATAGGGAGAAATAGATACACACACATATATAAATATTTTTTCACTGATTATTTTTATAAAAAGAAATTTCCATGAATGCAATTATTAGTTTTTCACGCATTTTTAAGCCATTGGCAAATTCCTTAAGAACACTCCATTCTTTTAAGAGGATTTGATTCCAAAACTATGCTGGCAGAAAGAATGGTTTGGCATTGCCTGCTAGTCGAGAAATCTTTAGGTAATATCACTGCTTCCTCAGGACTTACTGTAGCCTGGGAAATAGTGTGGCATAATAAAGTAGTGACAGGCATTAGCATGCATAATGGGCTTTAATAGACATTAAATGCTGTTTAGCTAGAAGAGGGAGCAGTGCTTCCCACTGGAATATTCCTTCATCGAAGCCCATTGATCACTGATTTCAGTGGGGAGAGGTTAATCCATCAGCTTCTGTAACCAGACGGCACTGATGGAAATTCTTTAGGTGGCATTCTGGATGAACCAGGCTTTCCATCTTTACAAACAAATGAGTGATATGACAAGCATGGTGTTCAAAACACATTTAACCAATTGATTTTCTTTCCTGTTGTAATAAGATCTGGAGACATATGAAGGCGTGCGGTGTGAGTTAAGATTAAAGGAATTGCTCCATGCACAGGAATATACGGAACTGAGAGCCAATAAAATTCCTATAAAGCATGTAGTCACCCATTCTCTCTTTTATATAAAGTTTGTTATTGCAATAAATAGTTATTATTGAGCCGATGCCTTTTATTTCCGTTTTTGCAGGATCTTGTTTCATATCTGCGTGTATATGTGCATGCACATGCGTGTCTCATCTCGGGTCTCATCTTTCTCTTAGAAGTTTTCAAGATGCTTGGCAATAATCCTGCTTTCTCATTTTAACAGATTTAATTTGGAATGGTAAAATTATAAATAGAAAGCTGCAGATCTTGTGTAGTGTCTGAGCTGGGCGTTTAACTGATGGTCTTCTTTTATTATCTCCCCTGCGCAGCCCTGCCTTGAGCTTCACCTACTCTTCTGCGCCCGTCTCTCTCCACATGCATCAGCAGATCCTAAGCCGACAGCAGAGCTTAGGTTCAGCCTTTGGACACAGCCCTCCACTTATCCACCCTGCCCCAACTTTTCCAACACAGAGGCCTATTCCAGGGATCCCTACGGTTCTGAACCCCGTCCAGGTCAGCTCCGGTCCTTCCGAGTCCTCACAGGTGAGAGGGACAGGTCGATGCACCCGGCCCTGCTGGTCAATTGAAGGTGGGTCAGCCACCATGTGAGCCATTAAGCAACACGGCACCTCTGTGTTCTCACGGCCTCCATACTGGCATCCTGTCTCCTTAATGCTGAGGTCTAGTCTTCAGCTTGGTGGACGTGTTGTATAAATGTTCCTCATCAAACAATAGCTTCTTCCCCCAGAGTCATTTTCTCATGGGCATAGTGGCAGACTGCTTGATATGGTTTCACTGTGACCTGGTGCCATCGTAACCTGCACCCCATGTCACTGCAGCGCGTGGATGAATTGCTCTCATTTAGTCACTGTTCACTGCCACTGCTAACAGTTGTGACTTACCACCAGGTAGTACTTTAGAGTAAGACTAAAACTGCTTTGCCCTGTATTAACTGTTGCCACTTTGATATTGTTTGGAGAAGAATCTGGATGCTCTAATTAAAGAACTTCACAAACGGAACGTGTTGGTCTTCTACCCTCCTCACAACTTTGTTCTTTTGAAATACACTGTTGGAGCTTGTTACAGCCTAGGGCCTCAGCTCCATTCTTCCAGCTTTTAAAAGCCGTAGGGAGTTTATACTCATGAGTTAAAAATGAAGAGCTGCCGCACGAGCGTATTTTCTAGCTTTGAACACGTTGTCTGAACTCTACTATCCTGGGATGGGAGCATTATCAGAGTCATTGCTTTATTGCCAAATAAGCTGGCTTGTCCCGAGTTGCAGGTTTTAATTATGGTACTGCTTCTTGTTGATCAAAACCTTTTTGTCTCTGGCTCTGTAAATGTAACCAGCAGAACAAACCCACGAGTGAGTCTGCAGTGAGCAGCACTGGTGACCCGATGCACAACAAGAGGTCCAAGATCAAACCCGATGAAGACCTCCCCAGCCCAGGGGCTCGGGGGCAGCAGGTAGGCCACACAGGCCGCACAGGCCGGCGTCCATTCCTCCTGAGATGGGTGTCTTTGGGCCACTTCCGCTCCCTCTTCCTCCCCAGTCCTGATGTCTTTTTCGGGGCATTTCCTTGCCCACTGCATTGTTGACCTTGGCCATACTCAACATGGTGAACAAAAAAGGCTAGGTATGGAGTGACTACGTTGTTTTTCTAGCTCAGAGGCAAACATAGGCAGTGCAGGAAGCCATGCGGGGCATTCCTTCTTGACAGTTTAGGCAGCTTAGGAGTATAGACAACTGTAGTTAATAGAGGAAATGAGGAAATGGTTGCATTACTTTTTTGCTGGCCATAGGTGAGACCAGGCTTCAGTCCTCATCTGTGATCTGGGGTCTGAATTACTGAGATCCTGCACCCAAGCCTGAGCTGTGGCAGATCTCCTGATGGCTCCTCTACCAATTGTGTTTTTATTTTTTCTTGTTTTGCTACTTCCCACTTTCTAGGAGAGCTGTAGGAACCAGAAGGGATGAAAGCACAAGTAACCTAAGGCTAGTTAGATTCTGGCCCTCGGCCCCAGATTCTGAAAGCAAGAGTGCAGGAATTCCCATCTGGACTCAGCCTCTAGTCACTTAAATCCTCTGGGCCTCAGTTTAAGGATGTGTAGGTTATACCCATAATATCATCTCATAGGGCTCTCTGCCTAACGCAGGAAAGGAGGAGCTCTGTGACTGCTAATTCCCCAACATAGAGCTTGGACAAGAGTCCAGATGTCCACAGAACTGGATCTTGCTGTCATCAGCCTGCTTCAGCCCAAGCCTCAGACTACTTGCCCAAATTTCCTTTTCAGCAAGAATGTGGAGGCTGGAGTAAATTGGTGTCCCGGGTTCTGAAATGGATCTTTCCTCTTGCATATTGCCCGACAGCAACAACCTTGCTGGTTACACTTCAGTGCCTGCATACAGTTTTTATCATCTAGCCCTGGATTGGGACCTGAATCTACACAAGATGAATTCTCAAAATGACTTGTATTTGCACTGCTGTGAAGCTGCCTTGGGAGTTTAGGAAGGACTGTGTCCCTGAGCTTTGATGCAGTGGCCCCTGGGCCTTGGCTACTGAGCATATCCCTAGAGAACAGAAGTTGAGTCAAGTGGGCATTTTCACTATAAAGTCCACAAAAGTGCCTCATACAGTCTCAACAGCAGGGAAAACAGAATTAGAAGTACTAGTAAATGATTTCCCTGGATTACAAAAAGTAAGAATAAACAAATTAACACACTGAAAATAATTTAAAACAACTAAACAAAACAGAAGTCGCAGTCTTTTGGGTAAAGCCCTAAATTAATGTATTCTCTTATGAGTTTTGTTTTGTTTGTTTGATTTTTGTTTGTTGTTTTTGTTTTATTTTGGGTTTTTCTTTAGATGACATTTGACTTTATTTTCAGCTTTGTAATCACGGAGGCAAACTTTGGCCTGAACTTTTTATCATCATTTTGACAGGCTGTTACCTTGAATCACAGGTTAAAACTCTCAGAGTGTATTTGGTAAATCTGAAAACATGCACAGAAATGATTTTATTGTTTGACTTCTTCAATTCATAAAACCCTAGACCCAAATCTAAATTGAGTTTTTATTTTCTGTCTTGTCATCTGTCCCATTGTGTCTGATTCTCCCCCTTTCTCTGTTCCCTCCCCCAACCCTCCTCTTTCAGGAAGCGCCAGAAGGAACAACCCTTGTCAAGGAGGAAGGGGACAAAGATGAAAGCAAACAGGAGCCTGAAGTCATCTATGAGACAAACTGCCACTGGGAAGGCTGCACGAGGGAGTTCGACACCCAAGAGCAGCTTGTGCACGTAAGTGGATGGCATTCAGGAACGGGGCTTTACAGCTCTGTGACCCTTTCCAGGGAGGTTGGCCTCTCTGACCCTGCGCTGAGTCAAGTTTCTTAGTGAGCCGCACTGCGAACTGGAGAGGGCTTTATGACTTTCTGAGAATAAAGAAAACTCGGAGCCACGGTGCTTGACCTGTTCAGTCAGCTAAAGCTGAGTGTAAAATTCAATAAAGTCTTCAATAGAGAGTGTAATGACTCTGATCCTGTAAGCCAGAAAACACTATTTGAGTTAGTGACTTTGATGGTTATTGAGTAATAGTAAGCTGGACATGAATTATGATTAACCTTTTAACCAAGTTTGATTCCCTTTCCAAGACCTGGTAACAATGGGAAAAATGTGGAGGTGGGGGATTCCTTTTTTCCACTCCCAAACCCTCAAAGCCTAAGGAAGCGCCCATTATTTTAAGCTGCAGTTAGTACTCTTTATGAGCTAGGTAGCATCATTGCTTGGTTTGAGGCCAGCCCTTGTGGGGTTAGGAGATTCATGGAAAAAGTTATATGTATTTTGAAATGTATTTAGTGATGGACGTTTTGGAAACTGCAGCGTGGTCAGATTGAGAACCACACCTCGTCTTCCAAACCAGGTTCAGAAAATGTTACGCACTCTCCTGCATGTCATTTCAAATAGTGCAGTGTGCACACAGCCTCCTCCCCACCCCCATGCCTGATTTGTGATACTCCCTTCCCAAAAGTGCTTCACTGTTCTTGGCACCTTCTTGAAGGCCAGTGGAGTTTTCCCTGGCAAATGGGACCGGGAGCGCTGACGTGGAAGGGCATTTAGACGATCAAGAATAAAAAGATGCAGGTGCTGCAGCTCCTGGCAGAAGCACAGGGTCCTGTTGAGGCATTAAGTGTGGGCAGTTTTTTAAGCTTTTAATACGATGAAAAATTGGACAGAGTAGCATTTGTTGCCATTCCCCCCTCCTGCTGTCTCTCTCTCTCTCTCTCTGTCTCCCTCTCTCTCTGTCTCTCTCTCTCTCCAATTTCTCTTTCATGATCCATTCTTGTTTATAGTAACTGATTTTTAGGTAATTCATGTTTCTTGATAACCCTCCTCCATTTAGATTAAGCACTAAAATTATGAAGTCCCTCTTACAGCCTACACATTTCATAGGCGATGTGAGCTCTTAATATGTTGTCCTGCAACTCGGCCCATCCTGTGTAATGTGTTCCACACATCACAGTTACATTGCAGTATTAAGCACATAGGTTGCCAGATTTTGAGCTCTGTTCTATACAGAATGCTTTGAGGATTTTACATGACATCGTCAGGGTTCCTCCTCTCCATTTCTTTTTAAATCATGTCTCCTGGTAATTGTATAGGAAGAATTATAGATTTCTGAGCACAGAAAAAAAAAATCAGAAAGTCAAATGTTTTCAATTAAGGTATATTTCTAGAATTTTTCCATGAACTTAATTTGATTCTTTCTCTTTAATTTGATGCAAGTGTTATTTTGAAGCCAAGCCTGACTTAATGGCCCTTTATTCGTGCTGTTTCAATGGAAATCACAAAGACATTGGAATTCCAAAGGGGAGAAAAGTTTGGAATTTTTGTTTTAGTATGGGGAAATACTCCCAAAGAGTAGCATGTGCTGTGTGTATCCTTAGTGATATAATGAGTGAACAGCAAACGTGAAGAGAATTGTTTGTGCAAAAGCTACCATCATAGAAGAGATGCTGGCAGGGCACCTTGCTTTTTTAAATATCCTGAGGGTGACACAGTCTCATGGTGCCATTTTGGAGGACAAGTCATTGTACTTTGCAAGGAGTGTTGGATACTGGTTCAGTCATTATCAAATCAGGAATGAAATAAGAGCTTATTTTAAGTCTACATTTAAAATGAATTGTGCTCCCTGTGAGAGGCAGGGTTTGAAGTAATATTTCTTGGAGTGTGGTAGTAACTTAACCCTTTTGCAGCCTAAATATGGTATTGTGAAAGCTTTTAAAAGATGGTGAAATTGCAGGTATTTGAATTTAATCTCAATGGCCGCTGGTCTCTATGATGTTTTAATAGAGAGATCTGAGTATTAAAGAAAGCCTGCTTAAAACCACCAGCTAAATGACCACCATGCTGTTTCATCAAAACGGTCTTTAAAAAATATGAATATGCACATATATGGTGGAATATTTTAATTCCAGATTAACTAGAAGAAATTCATGTCAGGATTAGAAGAAAATCCAATATATTACCTTTATGATATTAATTTTAGTCTGAGACAAATTATATGAGTAAATAAACTTAATTAAATGAACTAAGAATTATAATTTACCACTACATAAATACGGAGACTAGTTTACATCAGTTATTTTCCACCTTTTTACACCTTACTGTGTAAGGTGCAGAAATCTCACATTGGCGTGTTTAAATTGGTTCTACATTGCATGACATGTGCGTACCTTCTTACTCATGAGTATAGCCAGCAGCAGTAGTGGTGGCCTGGTATAGAATAGGTAGGTGCTTTGTATTGTGCTGATTGAAGGAATAGCTACTTCACGTCTGCCTAATTACTTCGGTGTTAGAATAAATACCAGTTACAAAAGCTACTTTTTTTTACAGAGGGAAGCATTAACAGTTTCCATTCCTGTGACTTTCTTTAAAGAGAGGACATTTGGTGAATTAGTTGAATTTTCATGCCACATACAACCAAGAGGCAAGGTGTTAAACCATTCTGATGCTCTGCCTTATTTATAGCCATGACCCATTCTTTTTACTCCTCTTACAGTTAATAGAAAGATTCATGATTCTTCATGGTTGTCTATCTAGTGTCTGACAGTCCCGACTGCCTGCTAAAGCGAGTCACTATCTATAATTGATATCCTTCCTGGGAATAGGGTGCTGGCTGCAATTGAAGGGCTTTGCTGAAAGCTCTTAAATCCTGACAAGTTCTCCCCTTGTTCTGGTTCAGTCGTTGAGCTGCACGGTTGGAATTCCGGAGTTATTTGAACTTGGTGCAAAAGGGAGACATGTGTTTCACATTAGCAAATCACAAAGTTGAAGAAGAAAGTTAGAAACTCGGCTGACTTTGCCCGCCAGGTAGTCTCATTTCCACTGTAATGCACTCTGTACTCTTGAAAAGATTACCTCGTCCATTACTATCTGAACAGATGGGCTAAATAGTAGCCTTTCCCTTCTCTTCTTTATTTCAAGCCCCTCTCCTTCACCAATTATGTGTTTATTCTAGGTTTGCTGCTGGGTCTTTATCACAGGGATGTTTAATTAATTTCTCTTCCCAGCAAGATAATTACAATTGGGCTTAGTTACTCTCAAGCTAGTATTAAATTCGTCATAAATTTACTTCTGTGACCAGAAGCTAAGAAGATAGATGCGTATTTTTGTTAGCTGTGTTTTTGTTGTACTTCGTCTCTTTCTTGGTGTTAGTTAAAATTGAAAGAAACAAGAAAAGTATATAGAAAAAAAATTAATTCCAAGTACACTGAAGACTGGATTTATTATTGATTTGCCAAGATGCAGGTATTTTCTCTTGCCATTTGAAAGACACGCATTCTAACATCCCAAAATGAGTTGAAAGTCCACATTTTTCTTCAATTTTAAATTAACCAGACCACCTTTTTTGTTGTTGTTGAGCATTATATTATAGAAGACGTGAATCCTAACTTCAAATGTGTTTCTGAGAGTTGTAGTACCTCCATTCTCAAAGTGGTGTTTGGTTTCGCTTTCTGCTTATGCTGATGTTACTTGGTTTAGCTTGTGTTACTATGTGAAGTAGCTCAGCCCAGCTTCTTCCAAGCAGGAAGGACGCTTTCTGTGTACACTGAGATCCGTTTCCCTCTTGTTTTAATTTTGTCCTAGAAGTAACTTCCATCCCTGGCTCTTTGATGTTTGAGTGTCTGAAATACGCACATCCCACAGCACACGTTAGTCTCAGGTTCCCTGAAACCTGCACACTTTGGTTGTGCATGACATTGTATATACCACCCACATTTTGAGGGGCTTTCTAAGAGGAGGAAAATGAATAAACGTAACAACTTTTATCTCTGTGTGGAGTCATCACTGCTGAGTGGCTGGTTATGCTTGAAAACATCAGTGCTGTGATTGAAAGAATAATAGTATCATTACCATACCTCATGTCCACCTGTTTTCTGTGACTCTGCAACTCTTTGCCCTCAATTTCAACAATCCGACTTCCTATTTCTGTGTAAGAAATAACACAAATAATGTGCTTCCCAAAGGTCTTTAAAAAGTCAAATTATTTTAAAAGTTTCATTCCCAATCCCCAGCAGCATGCCCTGCAGGGGCCCTTGGCAATCGCACTGAGGGATGTTGCCTTCTGCCTGTGGGGCAGAACCGCAGAGAATGTGAGATGTGTTTCTGTTAGCACCCAACTTCAACTGGGTGGCATTTAAGTCTCTGTAATCCTCCATGTGTCTCCCTTAAGCATAGTGTCAAAAATTCACCTTTGTGTAGAGTGATTAACCACCTACTTGGATTTTTAAAATGCTTTCATATGCTGCAAATTTTGATCTCTAAAAGCATGCTGAAGTTTCCTTTATCGGAAGAATACAGTTATAATCACCTTTACTGCCATTTGGAAACAAATTCTATACATCAGCAGCATGAAAATGAGCGGCTTTCTTTTTAATACAGAAATTTAGATATAAAGAAAGCACATCTAATTTGTGAAGAATTGATGTGTCTGTAGGAACGCAAGGAAGAGTTAGGATGTGAAGACATCATTTTCATATTAATACTGTGATCCTAAATTTGCATTTTAAATGTTTCCCATATAATTTTGATCCCTTTGCTAAAGTTGCATTGTCTATCCTTACCTAAGAGAAAATTGAGTTTAAGATGTGATGGGGTCTCAGATATGAGGCTGAAATTAGTTTTGTGTGTGCATAAAACATAAAACGAATGAGTGGAGATTTTGATCTTATTTTCCCTACATGGAGTTGCTAGTTAATTTGGTTACTGTAATTATTTGGAAACACGGCATATAAAAT